CAGAGGACCAGTACGCTCTATTTACGGATTTGATTCTCTCCACTGGCCTTTCAGTAGCTTCAACAAGTATTCCTTAGGAGTTGCTCAGTAAAAATCTGTAATTGCTCTGAAAGACCCCTTAGCAACCATCCAAGGACATTCTTCTCCAAATACCAGCTCTGTGAAAGTACTTTGCTGTCAGAAACCAGCATATAGACATTCCAGTAATAGAAATGCCATCTTTGAAATAATAAGAAATTAGGAGCAAACTTCTCTTTACATTTACCCAGCAATTAATTCCTAAAACACAGTAAAAGGCTAGCCACTAATGCAAGTGAAATAGACTGCAAGGCCTGTTAAACAATGATTAGTGTTGAATAATTTCTGTACATGGAACTGTATAAATACTAAGCACCAGGGAAATGCACTCTAAGAATTAAGAGAAATCCAGTTTATGACTGCTCACTCATACAGACTTAGAAGTTAAAACAGCATTTCAGATATTCATGCACTGTACGCTTGGAGGGAGAAAGTCCTAAATTCAAATTAGGAAGAGTAGTAGTCTTTGTGCTGTGACTGGTGGAAGGAAATAGATGTACGTGATGTGGCATTGCAGACAACCGTGTAATCTTGATTAATGGGAGTACCTGCGGAAAAAAAGAGGTGTTTGGCAAAACACTGACAAAATCAATACCACTTTGAAATGATTATGTGTCTTGCTACATTGTCTTGCCAGTTAAAGAGAAATGAGTACATGGACATAGCCAGCAACTTGATGTAATGCAATTAGAACAAGTAAAGGATCAATATACAACTTCTTTTCACTCACAAGACCAAATGATAGTATATTATATCAAATCAGCATGGGAATTAATCGTCCTTTCCCTATCTGCTTCCAGGTCCTGTCAAATGAAAATCTGGCTTAAATAAGTCCTTGTTAGTGAGTCAGGATATCTAAACTCAAGACAAAATATTTAATATATGTCACAGTTACTTGACAAAAATACTAACTGGTTTGCTAGAAGCTTCAGCACCCACTTTGGACATAGTAATTAAAATGATACTTGAGACAGTCCACTTAGATGCTTCATCTTATTTGGGATACTGAGACCTGTGAATTGCGCTTGGTAATAGTCTCGGCTTTCCTCTGTACTGTCAGACCTATGGAGGAGAATTTCCCAATGCTGGATCTTTTCTGCCGGTGCGGCTTGTTGGCTCCATGGATGCCAGCTGAGCCACAGGACGTTCTTCCACTTGGGTTTAAGCTCTGCATTGCTGAAATAATCATTGTGCCTTCAGTTCAATGACCTAATTTTGCCTGGTGGAGCAAAGTCCAGCTTGCGATTGGTCTGTATGCAGTAAAGATTTCAAAAAATGGGTAGATGTGGCAGTCTGGGACATGATTTAGTCTAGTCTACCCTTGATTGGTTTAGTGTGGACTTGGTAGTGTAGGTTAACGGTTGGACTGGATGATCTTAAAGGTCTTTTCCAACCTAAATGATTCTATGATTCTATGAAAGATAGGGATATGTTCCAGCACTGGAAGATGCCTGCAGATAAAATTTTATTTTCACTGTAACGCTTGTTACAGCAGAAAGAACACTCTAATAAAGCTTGTTGATGAGTTTCATACTTATCATGGTAACTCTGTAGAAAAAGGAACATGAAAAGTTTTTTGTTAACTGCTGGTGTATGTTTTCAGGAAAAAAATGTGAACGCTCCCAACTGAAACTGTCTTTAAGAATTTGGAAGCTCCAGAGAGCTGAGCTGATGAAACAGTTGTTAATCATTCCAAAACTTGCACCCTTGCTTAATTCTAAGAATAGTTACACATAACCTGCTCTGTGCTTTCTTTTTGGTTTTTTTTTTTTTAATTCATTCTGAGTCTTTAACAACTTCTGAATTTGAAGAATTTTAAAGCAAAATATTTCTGTTAATGAAATAACCCGTTAATGACGTTGTCACAGGTTTTAGAAATTATTTCAAAAAATATACTGTATCCTTCTTTGATAATTAGGAATTGTCATTATCTGCCCTTCAGGAATTAAAAAAAAAAAAAAAAAGTTGAAGTCATTCATGCATGAATGTGGTTATCACTGAAGATCAAGAAAGTAATCTGTTCAGGTCATTGGACATCCATCATCAACATGTACATAGCTGCACAAGCTCCATTTCATCACTGTCAGCTGCTGAATGGAGCAATACTTCTTCCGTTGTGCTGATGGATGCAAATGCACATTCTCAGCTCTGACCTCAAATTGCAGCAACAATGCTGCAACATACTTTGGACATATTTTTCCTAAACGGGTTGTTATACATGACTGTGCATCTTGCACAGAAACATGGCTTAATATAGAACTAATACCTTTGAAAATGAAGTAATATAATGAGATAGTAAATTAGAAAAATGGCCAATTGGAGAAAGCTGCACAGCAGTGACTCAAGGTGGTCATTAACCTGTACTGGTTTTATCTGTTCTTTCCAATTCACAGGCTCTGATCATTCTCTGTTATTTCTGTCTCTTGCTGTTATAATTAGCAGTGATAGATTCGATTGTAATTAATTCATAAAACGTAAATCTCATGGGGAAAAAGGGCTGAAGGATTAAGACCTTTGCAAATGGGTATATGGCAGCTATCTCCTGTCAGCAAAGGTTATGTATATCAGCAGTGTAAGACTTATAACCTGCTTCAGATGCACAATAAATACTGGGTTTTGATATAAGGAACTGCATGTAGATATGACTTGCGGTATGGTGGACAAAAACTGAGATGAGGATCTTATATATGTTACAGGTCTAAAGAACACAGTGTTATTCTCAATCTGCTTTCTGTGTTTAGTAAGTAGCTGATGCTAATGAAAAAGGTCAAGCATTTCCGGTAAAACCAGGGATTTCTGGTAGAGGGAAGAAGGGTCAAACTGTCTTACTGTAGACTTTCCTCTTTTTTTTAATGTAATGATGCACAGTACTTCACTCTCTCCCTATTAAAAGAAAAACATCACCTGTAACAGTATTTGAACTTTAAAAAAAAAATCCAATAGAATTGAATGTGGTTGAGTTTTTCTCTTGGCAATGGTACCTCTGTCTGAAGTCAGGACAGACTGGCTGATGAGAGCCGGGCTGATACCTTTTGCTGGGTGCCGGGTGTACCTGCAAGTGGGTTCAGAAATGAGTCCAAGCTGCTGGGGGTATTTGTTGCTTGGCTGCTGGGTTGTGTTTGCATTCAGCTTCAAATTGAGGAGTTCTCTCCTTTCCTGTTTATTTTGTTATTTAAATATTATGATAAATGTACATGAAATGGAAATATTTGGGCGTGAGCATTCTAATTTCATAAACATTCACTGGTTCTTTATAGCTGTTAGTGTTAGGTTTGCACTAAGCCTAGGAAATACTAATTTTTATTCGCGTGCTAGTGGGCATAAGATTAGAGAATCGCGTTAAATGATTTCTTTTGGTAGAGAAAAATGCGGAAATGAGACCATCTCACTCTTAGCTAAATTCTGATTTGTTTGAGTTTGGCAGATGTGGGAGAAAGGAACAGACTGAGGTCTGGTGTTTGCATCCTCTGGTGGGGAATAGTCTGTGGCTGTTCTGAGATGGGCTGGGAAGGAAGCATGCTAACCGGTTCAAGTGAAATGCAATTTTTTTTTCTTTCTTTCTTTTTCAAACATCCACTACAATACATAAGACTGCAGACAGTTGTGATAAAAGATGCTGCTTTAGTCCTTTTTCCATCGGAGGAGTGGCAAGAGTGAAATTCCACTGTGAATCTTTCTCAGGGACATAAGGGATTAATATGTCTTAAAATAGACACCATCAACTTAGAAATGGATTTTCCACATTTGAATATGATGAATTTTGCAGTGAAAAGATTGGGACAAAATGGTATTTTCTTTGTTCTTCCAGCTTGTTTGTGAATTTTGAGATAACCTGTTTACAAGATAGTTAAATTCTGCGGAGTCTTAAGAACTGTTGCGGTTTTATGCGCTTAAGTAGTCATGCATGCTTCCATTTTGCAGGGTTATTTTAAATTCTGGTGATTGCATAGCACCACAGACTCTTTTTTGCTAGTAGGACCGTGAGGCAGCCTGGAGGTGGGCAGCGAGCTGGGGGGGGCACACGCTGCCTTCAGAAGGGGTGACAGTGGAAGTGGGGCCACCGCCTGTTTCAACTACGTGCTTCAGGGGATAGGTGTCTTTGTAATTTACCCCCTTCTTTTTCTGAGCCTCCAGCGGGCTGGTTTTTGTTCTCTTAATTCAGCAGATTGTGTCTTGCCAGCTTGGTTAATAACTCAGATATTTGCTGCTGGGGGTCCAGAGCAAACCTGGGCAGAAGGACTGAAATTGCCAGCTCTGGACGTGTAACGGAGCAGTTGAGCATATGCAGCGCTCCCTCCCACCGATGGGCAGTGACGCCAGCATTGCCAGAGGAAGGAGCATGGCATATTGTTTCTCCTGTATGCCTGATTATTTATTTATGCATGCCGATTCATAATAACATAATAACAGGCTTGAAACAATAAGATAATTATTTTGCTTCTTAGGTGGTTAAAATTAACAGTGCTCGTTGCATATTTATTCGGCAAAAAGCTACAAGATGTTTAGTAATTACCCAGAAATTCATTATCTGCATAACGTTCTGTTTCTAAATGTGTATTGCGTGACCATTAATCTGTGCCAACAGCAAGCATGCAGCAATATCTGATGTAATTAGTTTTCCCCTTACATGCCAAGGAGAACATCTGGGCTAATTGCGTGTTGTTGACAAAAGTTGCCATTCTAATGGGGGTCCCTGTTTGTGCACACACACACTCATTATATGTACAAACATACTCATGATTTCAGTTTATCCTCAAGCATACTGATAGTTTGTACTGATGAGGTACTCTTGGTGATTTGTTACTGGGGTCATACAATGTCTGTGGGCAGCATTAGTAAATGTTAGCAGGAATTATATGCTGTCCTTTTAAACAGAAAACAAACAAACCGGTAATGCTGCTGCTTCTGTTTTATTTTTCCAGCCACCACTGGTCCAAGCAATTTTCAGTGGCGATCCAGAAGAGATACGGATGTTGATCTACAAAACTGAGGATGTCAACGCCTTGGTATGTGACTTGGCATGTTATGTGCCTGTGATACGTAAGCACCGTGCTTATGAACTGTTGCAATGACAGTGTTAATCACGTCCTTAGTAATTAACACATAACAGAACAGAAATTGTTTGGAAGTCAGAGATTTGGGGCTTCAGTGGAATCCTAATTAGTAGTCTGAAATATAATTATCTCCAGCAGGTGACTTTAAATTTTCCAAGTGTATGGTAATTATTCCAAACGTGCAGGTCAGTCAGGGACATTGTTTTCTCTCTTACTGAGAAAATGAATGAAAACAGCTGAAAGCTGCATATTTTTACTCTCTGTAGAGTTTCCTTTTATGAAGAGTCTTTGCAGATCAGGAGCTGTTATTCAGCATTTGACTGCACTTGAAATAAAGCTTCACTATAGGTCTCAGCAGTGAGAGTAAAGAAGCAGTATCTTGGCCACGATTTGCCCACAAAGGAATTACTGTTCTGCAGATTGGCTTATTCTACCCAAAACAATGGTAAGCAGCTGTAAACAAGTAGTAGTTAAGTGTTTTGGCAGTGAAAAAAAAATCTCCATCTGAACTTGGTCTTTTTGCAGCAGTTGGGGTTTTTTTTCCCCTCTTTGATTTTAACTTAAATCCATACTGTTAGAAATGAACTCTGCCAGTCCTGACTACAATCTGTGGCCTCTGAAAGTGGCGAGAAGATAAAGCAGGAGCAGAATGGTGATTTCCAGGTGTTTCCTGGACTTTTGAATCAATGTTCCTTTTCTTCATGTCTTTCTCTGACATAAAGCCATCAGTTTATTCATAGCTAACTCCAGCAGTTTGTCCGGTGTAGTCCTGGCACTGCAGCTTCTGCAGGCAGTGGGGTCCAACCATCTGGTTCAGAGCTGCAGAGAGGAACTGGAGAAATGATCCTACGGACCTGGTTAACTGGGGTTCCACTCCATTTGCTGCCAAGTGGAAAGAAAGACTTGCTGCTGTTTTCAATGGGGAGTCTGATCAAAGAAGACCTTGACATTAGGCTTTCCCTGTGATTATCAGTACCTGGTTGTTTTCTTGAAATAAATTCCTAAAAGTCCTTCCTTCAAGCATCATCTCCCTTGAGTTTTGTCCTTATTTGTTTTCCCTAATGGTCTTACAAAAACGAAGAAAAAAATGAAAAGCAACCAAACAAGAAAAACTCAACCTAGATGAACATGATAGTCCTAAAATTTCCTCTGTATTTCATGTTGGTTTTTCAAAACAGCATTTCCTATACAAAGTTATTGTAGGCTTCTCAAATGTTTTTATATCCTTTGGCTGCAAGTGGGGTATTGATGGTTGCTAGGGAGATGCTCTCAACTGTCAGATGTGATCTTAAGTGAAGAGTATGTATTTTATAGATGAGTATCATAGTACTTAATAGAAAAAGTTATTGAACTTGAATGGTCTTGCCCAGAATCCTTTTTAAGATGCTAAAAGTCCATCCAAGAATGCTTTGCCTGAACAGCTGTTTTGTCAGGAGCAAAAACCAAAGCTGTTCTTTGGAGTAATTAGAAAAATACTGATCAACACAAATTCTGAAGATTGTGTTCTGACTAGTGATTGCAGACAAGTGTCAAATGCTTAAAATGTCACTAAAGAAAGATCAAAAGATACCATTCCCCCCCCCCCCCCCCCCCCCCTTGTGCTGTGAGCTGGCAGTTTGCATTGTGTGCTTACATTTCTGTTTTAAGAGTGTTTTTAATTAGTTCCATGTTAATGTTTCTCTAGTGCTTGGTTGCTCATGGGAGAAGAAACTCTGACCGGTGTCAGCAATTTGTCTTTTGTTGATCATTTTGGTTAGCTGTCCTAATATTAGAATAGTTCAAATATAGGTAGGACAGGGAAACAAAATAAACCTCTGTTTTTGCAGGAAGCTTTGGCGATTTCTGGAGTTTTAAAAATTGGTTTTTGGAATCTGCAGCAAGAGAGGTATTTGGAAGGCAGAAAAAAAAAGCACATTGAGAAACTATGCAAAATTAGGGATGTATATGCATACTTTCTAAGAGAAAATTGATCTCAGAGGAAAGAGTTTAGAGCAAATCAGAAGTTTAGAAGGTTACTTTTTTTTTTTTCCCCCCTGGTAAAATAATTAGTATCTTTCCAAGCCAGGAAGTGTATGTTGATGGAAATGGCCGCAATCTGGATGCTGCTATAATTGTGACTTCTATTTTGCAACAAAGTGAAAGCTGTAACTGTTTGGCTTAGAAGTGTGGTTTTAGTTCATTCTGCCACTGCAATCATCACTTTGACCTCTCCAGTCCCTAGCTCTGCTTCGGGGGAACATGATGCTACTTTTGCACCCTGAGGGCATGGACAGCGTCACACTTGGCTGGCGGTGAGCAATTCCCTACCACTGAGTACTGAATATGCACTATTTCCATGGGAAATGTGGTCTGCCTGCGGGCAATGTTCAGCAGCCTGTTTTCCCAGGGCATTTGTGATATTGGGTTGGACCACACAGACCACCAGATTAGTTTCAGGTAGGCATCCATTACACTTGCCATTTGGTACATTTAGAAATAGCAGGGTGATAGTGCTATGTGTGTGTAGGTGGAGATTTTTTGGGGTGCTAGTTTTACTTCAGGAAGAGTGTGAGGGAATGACCCCCAGAATCTAGGGTTTATTCTGGATCCAGTGGTAACCCCTGGTTAGCTGGGACTCGGAATACATGCAGCTGTGCAGCGCCCTACATCTGTAGAGTCCAGTTCTTATGTGTGATGTCATGATTTTCTACTAAACCAAAATGCTTCCTGTAAAATTTCCATTTTCACCTCAGTCTTCCAGTTTAGTTTCCCTTCAAAATATTCAAAGTCAAACAAAAAAGGCAAAACCCCCTTCCAGTATTCTTCCCCATAACTGATACGATGTTTGCAAGCCAAACCAGACATTTCTTTCCCTCTGTTTTTACTCTTTATCCCCTAATCCTGCATTTTCTCTTGAACCCTAAAAAGCAAAATATATGCAAAACTTTGATGTCCCCAGAATATCTTCTATTACACTCATATTTTTGGGACAGTAAATAATAGACCACCTCACCCCACCAGTGAGACTATTGAAGGCAACATCTGCTTTCCCAAAACTTATTTGTTTCTGTTTCTGCTGTTGGGGCATGGTTGCTAAGGCCTTCTGGGCTCGATCCTCATAGCCTCTTTGCTCGACGCTCTGCCAGCTGGAAAAGCTGCTTCTTCTCACTGCTCATGGGTGTCAAGAGCTACTTGTGCAAATGCTCCCTCACCCACTTTTGCCAGAATGAGATAGGTTAGGAGAAGGCAATGGTTTAGCTGAATTTGGCTTGTTTGCAGTAAAGCGGAGCTGCAGAGCCAGCAGATCTAGGTGGGCTGCAGTAGCTCCTGCTGGGCCAGGCTGGGGATGGGCTCGAGCCATGTCGAGGTGTGGTGACCCTGGGTACTGCCTGCCCGTTTCTAGCCGCAGAGCACGTCCGCAGAGAAAGGGGCAGTGACACCAGGAGGGGCTGCAAGGTCTTACATGCAGGACCATTTGTTTAGAGGGTGGTTTATTACAGGATAAGGAGGGCAAGAAGTAAGTCCTTATGGAGAGACATGGATGTATGTTGTTTATTACTTCTTTTTCTTGTTATCCTACTTGGTAAGGCATAGATTTGCAGGACTGCCTTTGTTAGGAGGATTCAGGCTTTATCCAGGTCTTTACGCACACACAAGTTATATATATTCTGTAATATTGCTAAGCGTGCTTTTTGAGGTGGTATGAGTGCTTGAGGGTACAAGCGCGCAAACGTTTAGGATTGTGAGTCTGAAAGGCTTTGCATGCTTGGGATAGCTAGTGTGAAACAAGCTTGGTGGTCAGCTTGGAGTGACCTGTTTGACTTGGGACTAAGAGAGATCACAATGTGGTATTTCAGTAATTTCGGGAACCAGACCCTCGTCTCTGCTCTCGTCCAAGGAATGATGATTTTCTTTTTGGCACTGTGGAGTCTTGCAGGAGAATAAAGCTATCCTGGAAGTAAATGCTCCTCTTCTAAATGTAGTTCTGCTGTGCTGGAAAGACTTCTGGAGGATTTAGTCAAGAACTTTGGAAGGCTTCTGCTTTGACACAGTATGACAGTTTGGTGCTAAGTAATAGCTGTGTTTTCAGTGGGTATTTAGCCTCTAGTCATGCTGTTTGATACGCTGTTAATTTAAGTAGGAAGTGATGTAGATTTTTTTTTTCTGCAGAAGCAAATTATGAACAATTTTCAGTTATGTAGGGAAATTGAATATGAAATTGCATTGATGTTTGTGATGCAAGATAACCAGCATTACTTTTATTTGGAATAAATATTTTTTCTTTTAGAAAATAATTTTTTATATTTTATAAAATGATGATGTTTGAACTGTGAAGAAGACTCTGCTGGAGTTTACTGAGAGTCTGAAATATTCTGAGTTGGTTTGTACAGCATGCTAGTATACTAGTGGGTCCTAAGTTATATATATCTGTGCTGGTGACTCATGTTATCAGTGTCCTCAAAATGTTTGAGACTGTTAAGGATGTATAGGCCATAAAAGCTCATGGCAGGGTTCAGCTGTAGCTGCATTATTTTCTTCAAAGGCAGCAACATCAGCCTGAAATACCTGAATTTTCTAAATCTGCTTTTCCCAGCAACTTACGAGTGATGTATGCTCCCACACCATCAACCCCCCACCACCACCCAAGTCAATATTGCATTTATAAAAATGGAGGAGTTATTTAAATCTATCTTTTCAGCCTTACATTGGAAACTCGCTGCTATAAACATTAAAATATTTCCATTAATTAGGATAACAGTTTCTACAGTCTCAGTCTAGGATTAGTAATTAATTTTAAAAGTTATCTTTTTATAGCATGAAAGCTATTGTCAGCCTCATGGAAGGAAAGTGTTAGATGGGGGCAGGGAGAGGGAAGATAATTTTTCTTGTCTGTAGAATACCAAAGTATTTACCTCTTCCACCTCGTGGGCATTTGGCAGTTAAAGACTCAGTCCAGAAAAATCTTTGTTTCTGAGGCTAAACTGAAGACTGTGGGGATGAGAGGTGCTGGATCCAGGATCTGCGTTTTCAGATGGGAATTTCTGTGCTTGGTAATAGCAGAAGAAAGAGCACCAGGCATAAGTTACACAGCTTGACTTTCACCTCCCAGCTGGTGCTCACAGAAAAGCATTTCGATTTCCTTTGTGAATTACAGGCTTTAATGAAAGAATCTGTGAGAGGGATGAAATCCTGAAGCGACAGAGATGTGCTTTGTACAGCATCAGCTTTTGGCTCTGAATGGTTGTAAACAGCTCAAGAAGTAGGTGCTCATTTGCTTTTAGCCTCTTCAGTAGTTCCTAACCAGTTCCCAATATTTAATTTTCCTGAAGTCAAGTTGTATCTGAATGTTTGGGTTTTTTTAATGGTACCGGCTGCTTTGTGCTATTTAAATAACGTGCGCTCAGATGTAACAACAGTAAATGGCGTTAATGAGCAGGAGGTTTGTTTCTGTTACTGTTTTGGTTAGACTTGCATCAATGGAAGTTGTAGCCATTCATGTGCCTCTAGTATAGTTTAGTTTATTCTACCACCCAGGCAGATCGATGGCCCCTTGAAGGTGGTGGGAATCCAAACACTTCTTACCGATTAAACTTCATTAACTCAATTTCTGTGGTGCATTAACTCCTCCTGTGCCAAATGGTTTGTTTCTGTTACTGTTTTGGTTAGACTTGCATCAATGGAAGTTGTAGCCATTCATGTGCCTCTAGTATAGTTTAGTTTATTCTACCACCCAGGCAGATCGATGGCCCCTTGAAGGTGGTGGGAATCCAAACACTTCTTACCGATTAAACTTCATTAACTCAATTTCTGTGGCGCATTAACTCCTCCTGTGCCAAACTATTCCTGTTGGCTGCTCAGGCAGTTTGGTGACATAAGGAGTATACAGACATTTATTTTCTGTAGCAGCTGCACTTATATTTTAATAGTAAATAACTCTGTCCCAAACATCTTCTGATCTGAACATCTGCAGTTGATATAAAAGTTCAAATCCATACTCTCCTTTGAGATGTAGGCTGTGTTGAGGACAAACAGTTGGCCTTTTTCTTAATGTGTCTGAATATTTTACATATGCTGATATGATTCATCCAAGCCACCATTCTGCTAATTTTCGTGTACTCTAAGGCTCTGATCTCATCCAAGCACTTAAGGACGAGCCTAACTTAAAGCCTGTGAAGGGCCTTATCAGTGTCACTGTGATCACTTGAACAGTTTAAGCATGTGTTGAGTGTTTTTCTTGCTGAGGCCTTCTGTCCTCCATTACCTGTTTGTTAAATTCTTAATTTCCTTTATCTGTACTTAAAAAAAAAAAAAAAAAAAAAAAAAAAAAGAAAAAAAAAAGAAAAAGTGTACAGATAATGTTAACATGCAGCAGCATCTTTTCTGTGAACTAATGTAAGTCACTAATACAGTTTTGGGGAGAGAGTGTTTATCTCAGCATGATTTTCTAGCCATTGTTTAGCTTATCTGCTGTCTCTCACTGACCTTTTGTTCCTCTGAGAACTGCACTTGAAGCAGGTCTGATTGTTTGTCTTAATGCAGTTTGTAATCCTGTTATCATTTCTTCTCCCCACCTCCTTTCCTTGCCTTGATAATGTATGTTCATGTTTGGGGTGCTGCCAGACCTTTCCCTGAAATGACAAATTTTCTTTTTATTCCTCTCTCTCTGTTTGTAGCCTTCAGTCTTTAGATCATTATTGATTTACTTATTTGTACTCCTTTTGCTATCATCACGCCACGAGGACATCTGTAGTTCCTCTGTTTCTGTGTCAGCCTTGTGCAGAGCATAAACAGGAACTTGAGGATGTTCCTCCATTCAGTTGCTCAACTGCAGGCGTTGTGTGTGGATGTCTCCCCACCAAACTCCTGAAAACGTTGCCTGTAGGGCTCTTTTGTGTGTTTTTAATCTTCTGTACCACGCATCGGGCTTTGTCGTCTGCTAGTTCGTGTGGGGGTGAACTCTGATTTGTGCCTGGTTGTGATAAATGGAGAAATTTCAGGGTTTTTTCCCCTTGGAGAAATTAAATTTAAATTCAGTTGCATGACTAAACCCATCTTTCTCTAAAGACTCGATTCTCACTTAATTTGATATGATTTTGCACTGATTTTAGAAAGTGAAAGCTGAGAATACTTACAGAGAGTTATTCCTGTTACAGAAGGATAAAAATTACTTTTCTATGTCCTTTCCTCCCTCAATTATCAAATTTCCATCAGATTTACAGTTTAGTATAAAATATTGCTTATAATCAATAAAGCACTGAATAGCCTTGGTTCCTTGGTATAGAAAATGGCTTGCTCTTGTATTGTTAGCATTCAACTTCAAACTACTCTGTTCTGTTGCTAAACTTGGCTGTGTTGCAAGAAGCTACCACGAAAATTATCACTGACAGGTATGATAGCTATTACAAATACTACATTGTGCTAAAGAGAGATTCACACATTAAAATGAACAGGCTAAAAAAATAAGTAAACCTGATTCTATTTTTGTACAAATGTTCCATCAGTCTTAGCATATTTTTTGCCATGGATAGCTTTAGGATAGGTAATATGAAGCAGTACTTATGAAAGCTCTCATATGTACTCATATAGCCTGTAAGAGCTAGTCTGTGGTGGATTATGTTTTAGGAACTGAGCATATGAGAGAATCCAGCTTGTGATTTCGGTTCCTGAGCGGACACTGCTGGATGGACACAGCTTAATATTGCTTTAATTTGCCTACCGTGTCAGGAGGTGAAGTTCTGTAAGAAATCTTTCCCTCTGACCTGTGACAACCAGGGTGTCACCTAATCTGTTTTTTGAGTGGTTTACGTGCATGCCCACTATGTAAGATCGAAACGTGCTGCAGCAGAATTTGGGGACTACATACATCATGTATGTTTGAAAAAAACATAAAAATATAAAAATTAAATGTGACTTATTCTGGTGACGAGTGGCTCTGTGCTTCGCAGTGCTGGAAAACAATTTTCAGCATTCACACGACAAAAGGTTCTGCTGCACTGATTTGTCCACATTTACAGCATACTTTGAAGACAGTCCAAACTAGCTTGCAGTTGATGACCTCTTGGGCATGTTAAAAGTGATGTTTTACTTGACAGGCTCAGGGACATGTTTCAGGGCAAAAATGTAAATACCGGTAGGGTTTCTGTGTTGGTATCATCTGCAGGAAGTGTTGAATCTGTTACCAGCTTACAGTATTTAATGCTGGTAGATTGAAATTTGATAAGTTTGATTGATAAGTCTCTTAGAAATTTTTTTGTATTAGTGGTTAAGAAACCAAAACGAAATACTTTTAGGACTGGAAACAGGGGTCGAATAGCATGATTAGCAGTATTAGCAGTTTACAACGTTCAGCAGTTTCTTCTAAGGGCCTATGTTCTGGAATCAGCTGAATAAAGCAATAAAAGAAAGGTTTTTTTGTAATTACTGTATTTATACCCCTTGAAGTTAGAAAAGAAAATCTTGAAAATGTGACTCCCTAAGGCTGGAAACTACAGAAATCAAATAAAAGTAGATGTATTTCAGAAGTTATATGTGTGCTTATTAGCAATTCTTCTAGGTTTAAAGATACAGACCTGACTGGTAATATTTTCTTTATTTGTGTTTAAAGGCCGATCAGGGTGTACAAGCCCATTTTGGGCTGCTGTAGACAACCAGGCTAAATTGTGTACAAGAACCTTTGTAGACTAACAGGATTGCATCTTGTCCTTGTGTGTGGTTCCAAACCATTCTCCAGAGATATCCTTCTGAAGAGTCTGTTGTTATATTTTTGATGCAAACTGTGTTACAAAGTCTGATGTCCGGAGGCATCTGAATTACGTTGCTACAGTACTTAGAGTGGAAAATGTTTCCAAAAGAGACCCAAGGATGATGTCTTTCCTCATTTTAGATTTGATTTGATCTACCTGTAAACAGGATATTAGAGTAAAGGCAGTGTCTCTGCAACGTCTGGTGGAACCAAGTGATAAAAAAGTTGAGGATTATTGGGAGGAAGTATGTTGTACAGACCTTTAATTTTATTCTTTCACTGGTTGAGATTGCATTTCTAATTATAAACAGAAATACACATACAAAAACAAACACTATATGCAAATCCATTGCTCTTTGGCGCTAACATTGAGCATGGTTTATAACTGGACAATCTATGGTTTTGTAGGATGCCGAGAAACGAACTCCTCTTCACGTTGCGTCATTCCTGGGGGATGCAGACATCATTGAGCTTCTCATTTTGTCAGGTAAGGTACTATCCCTCACTGTTATTAAATTAGTAAATTAGCTAATTTTAAAGCTACAAGCAATACTCAGCAAAGCATATATGAGTGAGCTTTGGGCAGTGCCTATTTCTGAGTTTCATAGAGCTGGTTGCAGTTGTTGCGAGCTTAGAAAATATATTTGAATTTGGTGATACAATTATAAAACATGCACTGTGACAGAGCGGAATTAATAAACAAAGCAACTAGTTTTTAAAAAATTCTAAAGCATTCAAACTGAAAATATTTGTGGATTCAGAAACTTGCTGAAGTGCGTATTTGAAATGTGCGCTCATGTCCTGGAGTACAAGCCAAGAATTCCTGTTAAGCAAAAATTATTACAGAATAATAGGAAAAAAGTTATGAATGAGTTTGAATGAACTGTAAGTGGTATTTACATTGGAAACATTATTCTGAGAGTCGGGAAGTTGATTTGGAGAACAGAAACTGTGCAGTAGGATGTATCTAAACAAAAACTTGAAAAATATTTCCAAACTGTTGTAGTGACAAAAAAAAAATATCAAAATATGTCAGAACAAAGCATAAAGCAGACATCTCTCAAGAAGTACACATAATTCATGGCAAACCCTTGGAAGTGCTTGCAGATTTCAAAGGCAGTGTTTTTCTAAACTGGAGAACTATAAGGGTAAAGCTTATGGGGGTTTAAGAATGTGGGATTGAAAGGAACCTTATGGTACAAACGTCTAACCCCTTGCAAGCAACCTTGCTATGTGGTTGGTTTCACAAATTAGACTGCTTCTTCAAACGAGTTGCATATTTTTTTTTAGAAAGTTATTTCAGAACTATCAGTCCTGTGATTGTGGGGCACCTTCTAACTTCCAACCTTGAATACTAGAATAATTCAGGCTGGAAGGGATTTCTAGAGGTTACCTGATCCAGCCCCCTGCTTAGAGCACGAGCCAATTTCAAAGTTAGATCAGGCTGCTAATGGGTGCATGCAGACCATACAAACATATCTCTTCAGATTACCGGCCTAACCGCACCTGGAGAAGGCAGAAAATGAGAATTCAGTCTGCTGTAGGCATGTGTTTCCTCTACATTTCTGGGGGCATTTTGAGTTGTCCAATAGCTTAATGAGGGTAACTAGTTGGACATACATCATACATCAGATCTTTCTGCTCTAACCCTGATGCCAGTAGAATGATTTAAAGGAACATTCCTCTGCTGATAGCTTAGGCTTGGGTGGGTTCCCAATATGCTAAACGCAAACACGATTTTCTTCACTGGGAGGCAAGAGTTAATAAACTTCATCTGTGCACGTGTGTGGTGTTGGTCACATACTGTTGTTCCATTGTGGTGTGAGAAGATTGCAGGAGCAGTGTCTTTTTTCAAGTTTTGCAAGTAACAGCACAGGCAATATCCACATAATGAGAGAGGTGAAGCCGTTCTGTCCATTTCTCCCCTGAATCCCAATAGCATCAAAAAATGTCCCAGTGAATGTTCTTGTTTTCTATCATGTTCCTAGTGAGGGAAGGAGACTTTCTAGTGTTCTTCTGGGACACTTAGTTCCAGCGCCTCACTGCCAAAATGTCATCAATGGGCTGTAGGGTTTGTCTGGTCAACAGCATAAAATGCAGGTGATATATCTTGGGTTTTTTTATATATCCAAGTGAGTGTGAAAAACTTATAATGTGGGCTTTTAAAAATCAGACTTTGTGTCAGTGGGACTGTGCTGGGGTTCAGTCTGCAGGAACTGTGTGGATCTTTCCCAGATAGCTCAGCATGAGTCAAAATCTTGTGTTGCGTATCCTACCTATTCATTGTCCTTTAATCTCTGAACTATCTTTACTCATAATGAACATCAGTACTTGTACCCAAGAGCAGGTTTGGAGGTTTGTGAGGTTTGGGGGAGTAGATTAATGAGTTATTATAAACAACTCTTTGTTATTGTGAACTAGGCCCCAAAGACAGCAGCAGCATCTTCCTTTTGCTTCACCTCTTGGTTCAGTAAACTGTATTAGTAAAAGTGTATCATAAAAGATTAATCTGATCATAAAATTTAGTTACATAAGCAGAAAAACTTTGTTGTCTGACTTAAAATGAGAGGTGTTTTCACAGAGAGAAAGCACAAAAATGCTTGCTGTTGGAGTCAAACAATAATATTCTCAGTGTGAGTAGAATCTAGGAGGAGTAGCAACCCATTGCATTTTGTACAGGGCTCAGGAGAGAAATTAAATGAAATATGCACATTCTGAGATTTGTGGCCCATGAACTGGTGGCAGCACAAATAAATGTAATGTCTAATGAATAAAACTTCTGCCCAGGTGGTTGGAGACAGACCAGAAATGGCTTTCTAGGTAGCCACTGAAATGGAGTCTGTTTGGAATTGATACAGGAGAGAGAGTGCTAGATCCCTCAACTGGTATGAATCACCCTGGCCCATTAAATGTCAGAGCTAGGTAGATTTACACCAGCTCAAAGGTCTGATCCATAATCACATGGGGTTCAGACTGGGGAAATGTGCTGTGTGGTTTTGTTTTTCAGGCTACGTGAAAGCAGGGAGCTTTGAGCACTTCTCCTTCACCTCCTTTCTGTCAAGAAGGAGAAGGACAAGGACCAGGGTAACCACCTCACGTTAATGAAGCTCTGTATGATGACACAGTCAAGGATTTGCAAGAAGAACTGTCTGGACAAATACAAGCTCCATTCTCATTTGTTCTGGTGCCTCTCCCCGTCCTGGGCTTTGAGTTGGTGCCCAAGGGCATAATGTTTGAGCTCAGTCCCTTAGGCCTTGCTCCCCACCCCACAAGAAGCTTGTGTTCTTGGCAATATTATCATGCCTTACTATTTCAGAAGGCTTTGAACTTCTGGGCAAGAAGTTTGTGCACTGGGGGTGTGCATGCAGTATTAACATCCATCTTTCATAAATTGCACAACAGCTGAGGAAAAGGACAAATCCCAGCATGCTTTGGAAGGGTTCCTGGTAAGCTCTGCTACATAGATTTGGAAGTGAGACTGTCACATACGGAGCAGGTTCTGGGCCATCCCTGTTGTGTAGGCAGCAGGGGAAGGTGCTGTGTAATCTGAGCTTCCTCTTTTATGGCAGGCTAAGGAATAGGCGGGTTGGAGGGGCAGCCTTCTCTCTGCCTTTCCCATGGCTTTGAGACTCCTGTCCTTGGGGATTAGTAGGTATCCCCTTTGGGTGAAAGTTTGGAGGATGTCCCAGGGCTATCTCCTCTCTCCTCCATGAGTGACGCAGGACCTGTGTGCTCCCACCTGGTGGGATCCCCACGCCATTTCCCTCCCTAGCAAGTGACTTGGACTTGCCTCCAAGGAGATCCTGCCTAACCTCCTGTTTTCTGCCGTGTAGGTGTTTGGTTCCTGTGTTCACATCTAGCACGGTGTTGTGTTGCTCTCATGTTGTGGGTCCCAGTTCCATCTATTGGGTGGTGCTGCTCTGTTGTTATATTTTATTAGTGCTGATCTTTGCTTTGTATTGTGTGTTTGTGTGTGTGTGGGCACTCCTTATATTTTTGTGTGTCTGTTGCTGTGTCTCATAGCAGGAGTTGGAAAGGTGCACGTTAATAATGTCATTAATAGGTTAAAGAGTAGAGTTTCCTTCCTCCGTTGACCGTCCCTAATTTCAGAGATTTAGACTGTAGAAATCTAGATTTATTAGAGACCTGTGGATTTGGCAGATGTGCTGGATGGAAAATTGTACTTTGGTTAGGATAAAGAGTTGTTAACTTTGTTCCTGAAAGCCAGCATTGGGTTGTTTATTTCGAATCTCAAAAGAACAGAGGCAATTTCAGATTTATTTCCTCTTTTGGCAGAAAAATTTGAGAGTGAAAGATGGCAAAGATTAAAACCAGCCTTATTAAAGAAGAGTGGATTACAGAAAGTTTCCTCTCTGTTGATTTTATCTGTAATGTTATATGTTATGTTGTCTACTTCAGCCTCACAGAGCAAATCCATCAGCCAAGCCTTTCCTTCAGGCCCAGGAGTACGAGCCCTCCTGAGGGCAGAGTGCAGAGGATGGGGCTGAGAAAAGGCTTTTCTCTGGAGAGGGTTTTTTTACGTGGATATTTTATGGAGTGGGTGGGTGCTGTGGCTACCTGAAAGGATATTGAGGGAAATCTTTAAAGCAGCTTATCTTTTCAAGGAAAATTATACTATGAAGGACACCATATACACAAATTTGAGTATGTTATCAGCCCTCTTTGTCCTTATAAATATACAGATTAATTCATGGAGTATTGTAGGAAGTGCATTGAAACATGGTTAAGGTACTTGGTCCAGAGTGAAGAGAGGGACATTGAATTTCTGGGTGACTTTGAGGAAGTGGTGTGGGATGGACTTGAAAATTTAAACTTCTGATTTTTGGACACAGCTCATTTTAGGTGCCTTAGCATGTTGTAGAGCCCTTAGTCTTTAGAGTTGGATTTCTGTGTTACTCAGTGCTTTCAAAGAGCTGTCCCCTGGGCTGTCACAGGATGGACACTCAAGTTTGTGAAGTGTAGAGGACACCTTTGAAAACATGAGCATTGCTCCCTGGCTCCCTCTGCTTGATCTCCTTTAAAATGGCCGATACTTTCTGTCCCTGAAGGAGTCCATCAGTGCTGGTGAGGTTTTTTCATTGTCATTAACCGTTGCCTGCAAGGAACTTCTGGGAACCTAAAAGCTGAATTTTGGTGAGGGAAATGGGCAGTACAGAGGGAAACATTTTGAAAAGTCTCTTCAGAAAATGTGCACCTCAGTAAATGGACAACAGTGGCTCCTGTAACAGGCAACAGCTGAATTGTGCAGCTCTTTAAAAACAGAAATCACAAATGTATTCAGCCGATGCATTGAATTAGGTATGTAAGAGCAATTTCACTTTGCCATATAAAGAGCCCCAAAGTACAAAGAGGTAAAGGGATGTGGAAAACAGCTGAGGAAGAAAAGGCTGATAGCATGCTGTGTATTATTTTATTTACACTGGTATGGTTTTGCTTTTATTATTTTCTTTAGCTGTTTTCTTGGCAAGTATTTCAGTTCTCAAAGGGTAAGTGGATCAGTCAAAGGCATGAATAGCTACGGGTGGAGACACTTCCCTAGGTTTTCTAATCATCTTCATATTCACCAGTGCCACTGGAGTTGTTGAATACTGAGGAATGATATGTTTGTCACACTTTGCTACTCCACATATAAGCCTTTCTGATTTGCAACCATCTGCTTGTAGGAGTTAGTGAATGGGTGGAAATAAACCAAAGAAACATTAGTTAAGAACACAAGGCAAAAAAACAAGGCAAATACAAAATAAATTTCTAAACCTGAAAAGAGGTATTTGGTGGCAATCATTAGGAATTCATCTAGGCAGTTTGCATTCCCAAGACCCTTACCAGGCCAAATCAGTATAATGTAAGGTGTCTTGGAGTCCTGTCTGTTAGCTTCCTGGTGGTGGAGGAGGTGGCTGCCTTATGTGTCTCTAGAGCCTCGGGCAGTGTAGGCAAAGGGTAGGATACTAACATGTGTCAACCATAATGGCCTTCTTGTGAACACAAAAGAAGCTAACAGCTTCCTTGCTTAGAGAGATTCATTAGAAAACTCTTTGAAACTCTTGTCTTTGCTAAAGAGTGTTTTTCCAGAGGGCAGGTTGTACCACCAGGTACCAGGTTCTGAGGCGAGTTCAGAGGATTGCGTCTAATTGTTGCAATAGTTGTGAAAGTAGCTTTCTCTTTTTTGCAGCCAAAAAATTACATCCTAACTTGTGGAAATATGAAAGAACTTGTTTCTTCTCTGATTATGTAGCACAGTTCCCAGTAACCACTGTGATTCAGAGGCAAGCACCTTAATATTCCTGAGAAATGGCTCTCGGAAAGTACTTCTGATTCAGGGAGTGTGATTTATTAATTACAGGCTTTTGTATGCACTTGAGTTATGGTGCAAAATGAAGCTTAAGAATCCCTTTGTTCATGAAGTTCAGAGGCTCATCCAGGCTATGTGCATGAAGCTTATGCTTCTTTAAAATTTTTCTGCACGTGCTAATCTTCTCAGACTAGTACCACTACCTGCAGACCTGAGAGGTACAACGTTTTCAGGTTAAGCCCTTTTTAAAATTAGTTTCTCTAGTCCTTTTCACTAGATTTCCTTTCTGGGGTATTACATCAGTGAATAGCTTTAATATTTCTTTCAACCAAATCTGTTTTATCACACAAACGTCCAGGATCCTTTTTTTTTTTCGTCTGCAGTCAGCCAGCACCACTGTAGTTGTTAAATATTCTTCCTTTATCCTTTATTCTGGCAAGGCACCCCAAACCCATCCTCTTGCGCAGCTGTCTTTGTTGGAGAGCACATTAGCGCTGAACCGCAGACAAGGCAAATGGATAGTCTCCTTCATCCCTCTTCTTCTGATGTTTGCTAAATAACACCCACAGAAGCTGAGGTAGTAAGTGCCCAGTTTCCTCCTCAACCTGAGCATTATCCCAGTCCTTTTTTCTTGATCCCAGCAAGATTTGCGAAGCAGGGAAGCGGTTACATCTTTTAGTGGTCTGCCTGCTGGAGCTGGAAACAGGAGATGGTTTTGCAGGCTCGTTCCCTTCATTATGTCTGCAGACAGCAGCAGTGCTCTGAGCAAAGGGTTGTTTTTCTTCCCCCGACTGTATCAGCTGATCTAAAAAAATGCATATACATAGACATACATGTACATACATATGTAATCCCCTACAACAAATCTTGCTTTTGTGTCCTGTAAACAAAGCTATTTCTGGTAATAGCCCGACCTATCCACTTCCTTTCTTTCCAAATCACGCTTCAGCTCCTATCTATCTGGGATCTGGAAGTGCATTTCCAAGGTGAACAGGGTGCCAGGAGAGTCATGGGGAGCGCTGAGAGTACCGCTCTCAGTACGGCTCAGCTCTTGTTACTAGGAAACAGTTGGGCAAGGCTTTCAATGTCGCACCCAAGGCATGGATGTAACCTCTGCTGTTTACTTGCAGGCGCTCGTGTTAATGCCAAGGACAATATGTGGCTGACTCCTCTCCACCGAGCAGTTGCTTCAAGAAGTGAAGTGAGTAAGATTTGATTACCCTGCTTTTGCACGTAAACTACATGCTGGGGGAAAATGCAAACCATTGAGAGCCATAGTAGGTAGCATGGTGACTCAAACAGGGAAAGCATTTTCTGTGTGCAGGGCCTTTAGCATTGCAGCTGGCGGTCAGCTTTTACAAGTTAGTTACAACTGCTTTTGAGCCTTAATGTGGTTGATTTTCGCCTTGTGGAATGCTTTACGTTACCGTAGCAAGTCATTATTGAGCAACCATCAGCTGGAGTGGGTGACCAGGACTGAAGTGGGATAAAGACCGCAGTGGTCTACAGTGGCCACATGATCTTCAAGTGGTGAAATAAAGAGGAATAAATCCATACGGATGTGTGCATGCTGTGTGTGTGCCAGAAGGGAGTGGATGTGTATGTGATCCAACACGTATTACCACATAGTTTGTTTTGGTTAATTGCATTTCAAGGCATCCATTAGGTTTTCTGTTAATGCATTTGATTCATGCATAAAGGAGGGTTAGCCCATATTTCTTCTACTTGACAACTAGAAATATTCTGGCATCATGTTGTACTTCTTCGTTGCTATCTCAAAAAGGAGCAGCAATAACTATCAGGAACGCAGCTCAGGCATGACTGTGTTTTCAACTGCACCATTATTCTTGGCTTTCCATTTTGGACCTCCCTGTATACTTTTATTCTCCTAATACTCAGTTAACAGTAAGCCCAACTGCAGACCAAGCTGGCTGCTGGGGACGAGGGGAGGGGTTTTAAAAGAGACAGAGGGTGGCTGTCTTCCAGAGACTGATGGACTTGAATCACCTCCGTAACAGCCCCAGCGCTTGCCAAGCCTGGAGGCAGGAATCCTGGGCTCGCTTCTGAACTCGGGCATTGTTTGGCTGCTGGCTGAGTTTCCCAGCTGCTGGCATCCGCTGAAACCCTCTGAAAGGAATATCTGATAGAGTATGAATGCTGTAATGAAGCAAAATACAAAAAGCCATGTTGGAAAACAAAGGTCAGACTTAAACCTTAAAAAAAAAGCCACAATCTTTCTGATGCAGGAATTGCAGTGTGCTTGATTTCTTTTTTTGGATGTGTAAGAGTACATGATTTTTGTTTGTCAGTGACAGTCCTAACAGAAAATGTATGTCTTTCTGTGGGTTTGTGTCTCATCTTTAACTGTTTGTCAGCTGAAGGCCAATTGCACAATGAGAAACTGTCTTCCATTGTGCTGGCAGTTCTGGTACCTTAAAGTGAGTACCCAGGTGCAACAGTGAGGCAGCAGGAGAAGGCGCCAGCCTTTGGTGCTTTTTCATGCTCTGCTATATATTTTATAAGCACACATAGCTTTCTTCTCCTGGTCTTTTTTCTTTGTTATTTATATGATAATTCCTACTTTTGGTAATAATTTTTAAACAAAATTCAGTGTTTTGAGGCTCTTTCAGTGCTGCTTTTACTTTATTACACAAGCCAACAAATGTGCAGCTTCAATATAGTAGGACGAAACTGATAGTGATAGTAGTAGATAGCAGTGGGTGAATTCATAGTTCACATTGATCATAGGAAATGAATTCACAGTCCAGAAGTTGACCAGTAGGACTCGGTGTGGGTTTTGAAGTTCCTGTGAGCACTGTTGCTTTTAGAATGATCACCTACAAGTTTTAAGTTTTATTATCAGTCTTCTACTATGAAGCTTTCACAGGATTCAGAAGCTGTCTCCTTGCACCCTTTTATAGATTGATTAAAAGCATGAACACATTTTTACTTAAGTCTTAATGATTTTTCAAGTGAGCTTTAGGGATTTAAATGTTTATTTACAAATCAACAACCCTCAGGTGTATCTGTGCAGAATTGTTAATGGATGTATCAGCTTTCAGCCTTATATGGTTTGAAGATGTGAAGAGATTTCACTCTGATAACTTGGGGTAGCTGGAGACACTGAATACAGAGGCTTACACCATAGCTGTGGACTGCATGCATGTGTAGAAATTATGTTAATAAAAAGGGACAGCTCATGCTCTTAAAAGCAATAAAATTAAAACTTCTTCATAAGGGTTTTAACATTTTGATCCCAAATCTGATAGAGCAGCAGATTTGCAGATGTAAACAAAAATGTGTAAATGTTTTTTTAAAAAGTCTAAATATTTTTAGCCTAGACTTTTCAGTCCTTACTATTTAATTCTAAAGATTCTCCTTTAACTTTTTCTTTCCTTCATTAAGAGTCAAAGTGCATGAATTTTCGTGCTGACCATTCTCAACTGGGTAGGTCTCCAGTGAATTACATTTAAATGACTTTTAAAATAGTAGGCCTGTAATTTAAAAAACAAAATCCTGTTGAGACATCAGTAGCAATATATCATTATTGGTGCTGTAAGAGATGCAATGTCGCTAACTGAACAAATCTGTTAGAGGACAGTTTGTGAGACGGCTGTAGAAAATGAAATTGCTGAGACCGGTTGAAGACAAAGAACTGAAACTCCTAGTAATGGATGTACTGTTGATACAGACTACAGGCACTCTCCTGGGCCATTCTAGATACAAAAGTGGTATTTAAACACACTGTATGTGTTTTTTATTCATTAATAAAATTTTGGCTGGGCTTACCAGAAAACTTCTCAGTTTATGGAAAAAGAATGAGGTACTGTGTAAGACTAGGGCTTTCCCACTTACCAGCTGTGAGTTGTAACTAGCAGACAAGGCTACTTGAATGCTACTGTGTCGCAGTGGTTCCTTTGTATTTTATTTGTTTGTGGGGAAAAAAGGAAGAAGAAACAAAATGTAATTTTGAGAGAGACTTGTTTTTTCATCTGGCTTGCTTAATGGCAGATGCATGAGCAGAGGCAGAAAAGAACTGATTGTGAATTCTCCGGTGAGACAGTCTCTTAAGAGAGAACAGTACATTTTCTTACTGGGAAATATTCACTTTTAACCAACAAAATTAACCTTAAAAGATGTTGTTTGGCCTCAGGCTGACAGAATGGATGTTGCAGTGAAGACCCTTGGCCTGTGCTTAGCCCTCAGGGAGGGAAGGAATGCTAATGCTAACTTGGAGCCACCAGCATCAACCCTTGCCTGTGATTCTCATGATTTTGCAAAGCTAAAATTTTGTTTTCACAAATTCCGTTTTATTTTCCCCTTTTTCCTGTTTATAAATAAAACTTAGAGCAATTTGCTATGATTTTACTGTCCAAAATGATGTGCTTTTCCTTTTGTAAATAATTTCTGTAACAGTGAGCTCAAGTAAGTACATTCATTTCTTCAATGAGAGTACAGTTATGATGACTGAGGTACTGAAGGTTAATCAACTGAACAGGTTGGGCTCTCTGCATAGGCAGCTTTGTACATCCTCAAATCAAATTGGGAAATTTTGATTGTGAGGACACTGCTCTAAATGACAGCAAGGGTGATGTGTGCTCTGGCATTTGAATCAACAATACCGTTTCACTAGCCTGGGAGGTTGTTTTGATAAATGTTGTTCCCTTTCCCTCCTCCTGGCCATGTCTGATATGCGTAAGTAATATCCATAGGTAGTATGATCGAGCTGTCAAGAAGGTAGGCCATGTATTTATTCGAACTTCTTGGTTATGGATGTAACTGTGTTGCCATTGCAGGAAGCAGTGCAAGTATTGATTAAGCACTCGGCCGATGTCAATGCCCGGGACAAGAACTGGCAGACACCATTGCACGTGGCGGCTGCAAACAAGGCAGTGAAGTGTGCGGAAGTCATCATCCCCATGCTGAGCAGCGTCAACGTCTCTGACCGAGGAGGGCGGACGGCATTGCACCATGCAGCTCTGAATGGCCACATTGAGGTGAGTTGTTTAAGAGCGTAATTGGTTGTTTATTTATTTATTCTCGCAGTTCAACTAGTTGACCTGCTGTGGCTGGGTCTAGACTAAGCCCCATATCCCTGACCCCCACGATTCCTATTATTCAGCTGCTTTCCAAACTGTGCAACAGGTTTCCTACCTGCAGAAGTGAGACAGTGGCTGGAAAGCACCTGGGCAGAGCCAGCATGCAAGTGAGGTGTGCATGCAGACTTGGAGAGCTGGCTGTGCCACCATCTCCGACAACTCAAATGTGTCCTTGGCTCTTTTGAGCTTGACTGCCTACGAAAATAAGAGTGGCAGAATGGAGAAAGAAGGGAAAACTGGTGGATTCATTTCATACTGAAGAAATGTTCAGCTGTATGAGATCCAGTCAGTCTGCTTTTCTAATTAGTCTTCTAGAAATGTGCTTCTGTTTTCTCTACTTATACAAGCAGACCCTTCTAGTCTAATTACTGTTTCTATATGAAAAAAATCATACTTTTGTAAATAAAGCCCCTACGTAAAGGGCTTTGCTAGTGTCTTTAGATCGGGGTGCAAGGATCCTCATTTGCCCATTCCACACCTGAAGATCTCAATATGGAATAAAAACTCTTACACTGGGACAGTAGGCTTCTGTCAACAAAAGTTGATCAGTTGTACTGTAATTAAAAGAAGGAAGAGGAATGGTAGTTCCTGTAAAACGATGATGGTGTTTGGCCTTTTAAATACTGGACTGTAGGAAAGAGGGGGTAATGCTTGAGTCTAACCATCATAATCTAAAGCTCCTGAACTTTTGGATAGAGTATAGCAGAAATGTTAACTGAATGTATTCTGGTTTTAGCTGATTTCTGTGGCAAAGCAGCGTATAAGAAAGAGGAAGACAATCACCCAGCTCTGTAATTTATGATTTTAGAATGTTTTGCTGAAAAAGACAGTTGTGGAATGTGTTTTCCATTCACTTTACTTTCTTTTTTTCTCTGATTTTTCTTACGTTTAAAGTTGGATGATTGGCAATGGGGAAAGCAGATTTTTACTTCTTAGCCATGCTGTCCTAAAGGCCAGCATCATATGTGAAGCAGCCTGGTGCCTGTCCCCACTGCCATGGGCACATGGGAACTTAATGAAAATCACCATGGTGTGTCAAGAAATAGACACTTCTTGTTGGAAGATCAAGCAGATTTTAGGGTTTGTTACCTCCCGGTCTGGAGGAATCTTGTCCCAGTCCACAAGAGAACCCCTTAAACTGGTCTTAATGGTAAAAACTAAGAGCAATGTTTCTCTTCCAGGCCTGTTTCTCTGCCAGGTTGTTTGCCAAGCTGAATTTGAAGCACACTGGAGTAGCAGTGCCCTGCATGCTCTCAGCCCCCTCTGTGGACACAGAACTTGTCCTGGTTACTGCTGGCCGTCACCGGTCCATGTCATTAATGCACACAGCTTTGAACAGTATTTGTGTAATTCACAGATTTATCATTCAAAAGCAGGATTTTGCGATCCCAACTTTATTGCTAGAATGATTAGTTATAAACTGTTGAGTGTGTGATCTACAGGGTTGGTTTACTTGCTGTTGTTGCTTCTAGATGGTGAACTTGCTTTTAGCCAAGGGGGCAAACATCAATGCTTTTGACAAAAAGGACAGAAGAGCTCTTCACTGGGCAGCTTACATGGGTAAGGCTTGGGCTGTTGCTCCTTCTTTTTAATTTCCTATTCACAAACCAACAGCATGTTTTAAAATGGACAAGAGCAGACCTGGCCATGGAAAGTGAGTGTTGTATTTACTGTGAAGAAGGAAGGGTTCAGCTGATGTAAATACACACTGTCCATTTACAGTTTTGCAGATGGTGAGAACTTGGCTGTGATTTCCTTTTTAACATGGTTAATTGTGGGCTTTTTGTGTTGCTTTTTTCACTTTGGTCTTTTTTATCCTGACTCTAATTCCAGCCTGAAGTATATTTGGGCTTGAAAAAATATAGGTTTTATTGGTTTCAGTTTTTGCTAAAAACTACTTTATATAAAATGCAGATAAATATGATCATAAATCTTGCTGTTTATCTATGTTTATAGGTAGCTAAGTTATGATATTGTTAGGAAGTGCTTCATAGGCTTTCTTCCTGTTAGGAGCAAATTGTCATCTTTTATTCCAGAGTGGACAAGAGCAACCGATTTGTCTATTCAAAACACCAGTAGTATTACCAAATACTGCTTAATTAAATCAATTGACCTTATCATTCTATGATTCCTTTCAAGTTAAAGGAAAAATTCTTATAGTGGGCCATTATAATTTAAAAATACTAGAACAAGATTGTCTGTGATAGCTGTCACGCTTGTTCAAGAGCTTTTGTTGGCCAAGCGGTATATTCCAGATTATAATTTGTGAGGTGTTGTGTGCCCTCAGCCAGGAACTCTTTCATCTGACCTGTCAAAATCTTGATTTTAATCCTGGCACTTTTGGAAATGAGATAATAGGAGATTTCAAACTGTGAGAAAAGCATATTGTGTGTTTTTTTGATATACTCAGACAGATGGAAAGACTCTTGCCAATGAATGTGATTTGGCTTTTGAGATAGCGAGCTTTGAACTGCACTCTGTAGAGGTGAAAGGCTTTTACATTGTGCTGTGCAATTCCACATCTCTTTTGCTCTTAATTCTTTTCAGAAATTAATTATGTAATTTTCAAAATATTTAGATAACATTTAAGGCCTAAATTAGCAATGGCATTTAGGAGTCTGTAGTGTAATTTGGACAGAATTTAGATAATGAGACCTGAGCATCTTATCTTGTAAACCCTCACATAGTTTCTTGAATGCTTTGGGGACTTTGTCCATAAAGTTTCCTTGGTCCTGCACATGGCCAGAGCTGCATCTGTCATAAAAGTGCCGTACAACTCAGATGGTGCACAATTTTATATGGTGTTTGACATAATAAATTTTTAATTCTAAGACAGCTCTGCTTCAGCATGAAGCAATAAGGACTGTTCCTCAGTTAGCCTTGACTTAATTTTGGTGGTTAGGCCACTATCTGGGAAGGCAGGCCAGATGGTTTGAGACCTTCAGGGAGAGGAGGAAACTGAAGATACAGATGGGTTATAAGTTGCATTTTGAGATGCTCAGCTCTTCCCCTTTATTCTGTAGGGAGATCCTAATTCAGGAGTGGGCATTTCTCTCCTGAAGACAGATGTCCCATTGATCTGGCAGGCAGCTCTCAATCTGTGTGACTGTTGAGGCTATTGTAATTATTTTGGTTTGCAGACTAAGTATGTGTGTATAGACTGTGAGTTCAGATTCAAACACTTTTAGACCTATATTCAGGATTTTTTGCACAGTTTTGTGTTAATGATACAGTTTTGGAGAGTCAAAAACCTGATCCAAAGATCAGTGGATTCAGTAGAAAATCTTGTGTTTGTATTGGTAGGCTTTGGATCAAATTCTGCACTCACTTGAAATTTAGTTTTCTGTGTCCTCAATGGTACTAGAAAAGAGGATACCTTCATTTTGTCATTTATTGAAGTTATTTTGTGTTGCTAACAAAAACCAACAAGTGTTAGCTGTTGTGTTTGCAGATGACAATCAACAGGATGCTGTTTTGGGAGACTTGTATTGTCATGCTCACTGTTCTTTCTGTAACAGGAAGAACAAAACACAAACTCTTATTTTTAGAGAAATAAATGGGAAAGAGGTGTGTTTTTATTCTTTTAATGACTGGAAAACTAATTCAGTAAAGAGAAATTTGGCACATCTGGTGAAGGTGAATGCGTGGGTTTCTTGACAAGGCCTGGAGCTAGGATTAAGAACATTTATGAAAATGCTTTTTTCCCCCTTGTAAAACTGTGGGAGCATTGTGAAACAGCAGCGAAGGGGCAGTGCATTAGCAAGAAAGCAGTAATTTGGGAGAAGTGATGCTGTAGGATGGTATACTCATTGATCACTATCTTTAATTTTTTGAAGGTCACCTGGAAGTTGTTGCCTTACTGATTAATCATGGTGCAGAAGTGACTTGTAAAGACAAGAAGGGTTACACCCCACTTCATGCAGCTGCGTCCAATGGGCAGATTAACATTGTGAAACACCTCCTTAACCTGGGGGTAGAGGTATGTGGTAATGTGCTCTTTGTAGCTTCCATGTTCCTCCATATTTTGAGATATTCTTTTCTTCTTTCTTATGGGTGCTGCTACAGATACTGGCAGAGCTGGTAAAGAAAATAGTTCCCATTTTCTGGACCACCTTGTGCTTCATGTGGTTTATTGGTTCAAGAGCCAGGAAACATTCTGGAATAAAAATTGTCTGATATGGACAGTAAATTCCAGCCCATCTTGCTGAAGAAATCAGGAAATATATGCTGTTCCTGCAGAGGAAGATGGAATAATGATATTTCCCTTGGTTCAGCATTCCCTTTGATATGATGAGTGCTTGTTCTCAACATATACACTGTGTACTTTACTAAAGAGCAGTTCAAGCTGTTTAAGTTTAGGGACCTGTAGTTCCTCTGTAGCTGATGGAGGGAAGGAGAAAGATTATTTTCACTCTGGAAAAGAACTTTTTTTCAGGGCGCAGACTTCTCTTAGTGTAATATTGTCAACTCAGTGGTTCAAAGCAGCAGTGAGATGACCAGAAGAGCCTGCACTGGTTAATCAGAGATGTCAGATAAAGCCATTGCATTTGCCATTGCATTTTCAGCTGACGTGACATGCCAAAAAAATGTTAGAAGTCTGTGTTCACAGGCTGTTGACTGTGAAGTTGAAGGGGAATAGGTGTTTCCTGTTATTAGCAGTACTATGCTAATAACTACCTTTAACTTCCACATTTTCCACCACTGGTGATATGATCTTTGAGACACCTGTATTTCATGGAAGGGTCATCCCCGAGTCTTTTGTACAATCTGTCTTGCCCTGTTTTACAGAACAACAGTTGAATACTAAGCTGGTCATCAAGAAGTCACATAATCTTAATTACTTCTTTATACTACTGAGCTACTGAAAGTGGTTTCTTATTGAAGTGTAAATGGCTGTGCAGTTTCACCTTGCCTTCACTCAGACACCTTCACTCCCTTCCCAAAAGAAATCTGTGGAAAGAGCTCTTAAGCCTGATTCTGTTCACAAAAATTCAATAGTAGGTGTTTTAATTTTTTTTAATAGACTTTGTGAGCTTTTTATTTATCCTACTTTCCTACCTATATGTAAAAGCTTTCCAGCTTGTTAGGACTTCTGTCATCATCATCTTTACATAGTCCTGCTATCAGCTTTAAGCCTCATACTGGCTTTTAGAAATTGCCAGTAGGATAAAAAGTTAATAATAGTAAAGGTAAACCATTCCAAATTAAGCTTTCTGGGAGTATATTTTTGTCAATGAAATTTGCTGGTGAGAAATATGCCCTATGACAGCTCAAGCCTCCAGCTATTTCCATTTGCTGTATGTGATGCATTATGTAAAATGGTAAGCTGATGTCTGTAATTTTAACTATGTCTCCTTGTCTCATTTTAGATTGATGAAATGAACATCTATGGAAATACTGCACTTCACATTGCCTGTTACAATGGTCAGGATTCTGTTGTTAATGAGCTGATTGACTATGGTGCTAATGTAAACCAGCCTAATAATAATGGATTCACTCCCTTGCATTTTGCTGCTGCTTCCACTCATGGAGCACTGTGTCTTGAACTGCTAGTGAATAATGGGGCAGATGTTAACATTCAGGTAAAACTTTCATTGTAGCTCTTCAGTTTTACTTTACCCTATTTTGCATACCTCTGGAGAGTGGAAACTATAATAACGGGTACAGCATGGCTTTAAATCCTTGACGGAAGTAAAGCGATGCTGAGAGTGTTGATCACTAAACTGTTTGGATGAGATTACTTCCCATCAGAGGAACTCTCGGTGCCTTGATAAATATGACAGCTTTAAACTCTAGGCCAGGCGCTCTCCTGAAGGCATGAACCGTTACTAAAATACAGTCCCAGGAGCTCTGTCAAAGTGTTATCTCAGGGAGTGGTGGTAGATCAAGGAACTATTCCTTTCTGGTGTTTTCCTTCCCCCTACCATATGGATTTAATTAAACCTGATTCTAAAAAGTTCCTTTTGACTTTCCCAGGGAAGTAAGAACTGGAGGTTGCTTGTTTACCCATTTTAGAGCCTGAGTTTACAAAGTCTGATTCTGTTTAGGATATCTGAATGTTCTTGAGATACAACTGATACATCTTGATGAAGCTGAAAGGGACTTGCTCTTATCCCACAAAGGGTACTGGTATAGGTACCAGAAGACTTGAGATCTCTGAGTTTATATAAGATTTTGACTGCTTTACTTTAAGGTCTGTGTGTTTCAGTTTCCCATCTGTAAAACTGGTCTCCTAGTATTTAACACCTCTGTCAAGTCCCTTGAGATCAGTGAATAGTCAGTGCACTATTTAAACTCTGAATTATTAAAATGAAATTGGGGATTGTGCTTGCCAATGAATGCAAACCCCCGTGCCAATAAACGTGAAGTGATGTGAGTAGTGAGGCTGGTACCCTTCCCTTGCTATTTTCTCAGCTCCTCTGCTTCCCCAGTCTCTCCCTAGAACCCAAAACATTGATCTCTACTCATTGTACCTTTCCCTTCATATGCCTTCCCTGTTTTCTTTTGTAGATATCTTATTTTTGATTGCCTGGAAATTTATTAACTAAAACTTTTTAATATAGTGGCTTTTGTTCTGGGATGTGTCTATAAAATGCAGATTGATAAACAGGATGTAGTTCTTGAACCTCTGAGACTGCTCCTACTTAGCTTTATGGTTCCTTTGCTTTCCTTTATTCCCCTCATTGCAAGGGTTAGGGAAAATAATGACTGAATGGGAAATGTTACTTAAAAATAATATTCAAGAATAATACGTCATATATCTGTAGGTTTCTAGCAGGCACTGTGTACAGCCAGGCTGTAAGGACAGGCTGCACTCCAGCCCATTTCCTACTCATTGCTGAGGAGCTGTTTTGCTTGTATGCTTATACCTTCTGCATTTACCATCATGTATAGATTCAGTCCTACAGACTTCTGAAGCTAGTGGAGGATTTATCTGAAGAATAGCTGTTGGATGTTAGCTGAGAGTCTTCAAATTGTTACCACCACTTTACATGATAAATGGGTGTTTTTATGTTTTGTTTCTGTTAGAGTAAGGATGGGAAGAGCCCGTTGCACATGACAGCTGTCCATGGGAGGTTCACACGGTCACAGACCCTCATTCAGAACGGTGAGTTTCTGTGCCTGTTTAACGACTCTCCAAAAGATTATGCATTTCCAAGGTTGCAATTTTGAGTTGTTCTGACCCAGAGTGCCAAAGGACTGTTCTGAGACCTGCTTAGCTCTCCATCAACTTCTGGCTTTGAGCTGCACTGGCAGCGTTCATTCCAGAGTGTCATCACAAGTTGAGATTTTGGTTGTTAATGAAATCCCATATTCCTCCAGCTGGTGGTGGCCCAGCTGATCTGTTGTGATTCTTAACATGAAAACAAGACTTCAAATCTGTATTTAGGTCTTTTTTCTGCTAAGAAGCAGGCACAACTTTCTTTCTCAAATTATTTAAAAATTAAAAAAAGTTTCTAGTTGTCCTCCCTTTGGAGCCCTGGTGTTCTTAGAGCTCAGACCATTTTCTTTACCCTCCACTCAGCAGCTGTACTTCTCTCACCTCCCTTAACTCCACCCTCACCACTGTCTTCATTAAGTGTAGAATAAATACGCAGGAGGGTGGACCAGTGTCACCTTGTTTGTTCTGTCATAGACAGGATTCCTGGTTATCAGTCATTTATCTCTCTTTTGTCCAAGAATACTGCAGAGTATAACAAATATTATTGTTGGATATCTGGCAGAGGCTGGTTTCCGATTGGCAGAGGTTGCTGTTACTGATTGCTTACTTATGATTCTCAGCTTTGGCCACTATACCAGACAGGATGGTCTGGGGTTGGTTGGTTAGTTGGGGTTTTTTGTTTGTTTTCCAAAATCCCAAACTTGAAACTTAAGTGTGAGATGTTGAAGATGTCTGAACAGTTACACGGTAAATGTAATGACACTTACATTTACACAAGCTTGTATTTTAAAACTGAGGTCTTCAGTACATCATGCTTCTTTCAGGTCATCATGCAAATTGTTGTCATATCTCTCCTTGGATAAATAAAATGCTAATAATAGAAGGAGTTTGAGCAAACTGGAAGAAACTGTGCTTTGATGCAATTTTTAGTTATTTAGTTAAACATGCTCTCTAACTTACAGCTGTTATTTGGTCTCTGTTGGATTTGTGTGTGAAAGGACTGGCAGTTCTTCATCTGTCCTTCACACCTCTCTACTCTTCTTAAGTTACTTGGGTTTTGTTTCTTTCTTTCTTCATTTGTTGCCCCTCTAATTTTAGTATTGTACACAGATCTGATTGCAAGTGACTTTATGCCTCATTGCCATGGGATATTGTGGAAGAGAGAAATGTCAATGATTTAAAGAAATGGAGTTTCATTCTGCAGTACTTAATGAGTTGGCTAAAGATGTCTCAATTTCTGGCTGCTGTTTCTAGTGACTTGTAGAGGAAGAATGGATTACCTTAAAATTGGAAAACTGCAAATGTGATACCTATCTTTAAAAATGGGGAAAACGAAAAGCTGGAGAATTTCACATAGGTCAGCCAAAAATTCTGAAATGAGCGAATGAACAAACTGTTTGTAAACAGGGAGGAGTGGGCAATATCTGGCATAGATTTCTCAAGGGTAAAAGATGCTGAAATATCATAATTCTCTTCTACAGCAGGGCAATAGGCTTTGTGAACACAGCACAGTCCTCTGACTTTTCTGTAGGCAGGTAATGTTAGTGGAGACCTCCGCTGGTGGAAGATCCACCCCAGGGAACCTGTTCCAGCATTTCACTGACCTTTATTTACTGTTAGAAAATGCTGTATAGTGCTTTACTAGAACTTTTCTTGTTGCAGTTATGGCCAGTTATCTCCTGTGAATAGTGGACATGCAGTAAATATTACCATATCCTGATGTTAGCAAGACTTTTTGCATGCTTTCATAAAGTATTCTCACAGCAAACTAGTGTAGTATTAAAATATTACAGTGTTGGCGCATAACTAGTTGAAAAACTGACACTCAGAGATTAGTAATAGAGGGATTGTTGTTGAAATAGAAGGTGTAGTGAGGGAGTTTTCAGTTTCCCTCCTGGGTCTGGAACTATCCAGTATTTTCATCAACAACTTGGATAGTGGAACAGAAAATGTGCTTTTAACATTTGGAGAAAACATGAAGTTGGGAGAGACCGTTAGTTTGGCAGAAGGTGGAGTCAGAATGGAAAACGATCCTGTGAAATTGGAGACAGAAGTTATAACACAAGTGAAGCAAAGGAAAGATACCACACACAGGCAGGAGTATCAGTCAGACAAGTTCAGGATGAAAACAGCCAAGTGGGTGGTGGTTCCTCAAGAAAGAATCTCGGGTTTGTAGAGGATCAGAGGCTTGTTGATCACAAGTCAACAGTGTCATGGTGTTTAAAAAAAATTATCAACAATGTACATGGTGCTGTACAATGTACAGGAGTGTATAGATAAGAGCGTAGCCAGCAGGCATGAAGTAATGCTTTTGCTCAGCTCAGCATTGGGAGACATCAGCTGTAGTACTGTTTCTGGCTTTTGACATTTTACTTCCAGAAGGATGTGGGCCAGCTGGAGAGGATGGGGGAAAGGACGAGAATAGTTGGAGTGCAGCAAACCTGACTTACAAGGAGAGGCTGAAAAAACTACAGTTCCTTGGTCCAAAAAGAAAACAAAGATTTGATAGCAATCTTTGGATGGGTCAAAAGCCACAGCAGAGAAGAAAGACATAATGTATTTTTCATGCTTGTGAGGATAAAACACGAGATGACAGGCTTAAATTGCAACGGGAAAAGTTCTACTTAAGCACTGTTTGGTTGTTCTTTGGTAAGACACAGAGAAGGCACACAACATGCTTGTTGTTTGCAGCGTGTTCCTGCTGGCCTCTTGAATGAACTCTATTTAACATTGTTGTCTTACAGGTAAGGCTGAGTGGCAATGCCTTTAGGAATGAGGGCATAGTTTCAGCAGTTTATTTTGTTAGTTTAATTCAAGGTATCCATTTGTACCTTTAGATGAGCAGCAAGTCTGAATCATGTACTCGACCATTGTATGTCATCCCGTTCACCTATTTCCCACCATTTTTCCCCACCGCTGCAGTTGGAGAGGGGGGTGAAAATGCTGCTGCCAGACCACGTTCAGTACCAGTGGCTGACAGCTTGCTGTGTGCTGGTTCTTGGTCCCTGAAATTTAGTGTCTCTGTGGTGGGACTGGTTATGCTGCATTCGCTAGAGAGAAATAACATTTGTGGTCACTGGTTCACGCTTAATCTTTCACTGTTAAACTGGATGAAAATGACTTTTGCAGGAGGGGAAATCGACTGTGTTGACAAGGATGGTAACACCCCTCTGCACGTGGCTGCAAGATATGGACATGAGCTTTTGATTAACACCCTCATAACCAGCGGAGCTGATACTGCCAAGTAGGTGGCTGAAGTGGAGCTGTTTCTAATAATCAAGTGTTATGTCCAATGCCTGGAAACACAGTTACTCCTCGGGTTCTGAAGTGTGAAGGTTAAAATGGATAAGCATAATTGTACTATCCTTCAGTGAGTGACATGGGGCTAAAATATGAACACTTGGGAAGTGTGGAGGGGAAGGAAGCCCTGCTAAGTTCCTATTGTGCCCTGTTACGTGGTTACAAGTAGTACAAGTACTGCTTCTTTTTCCTAAAGCATTGATGTGGCACAGTGGTATATAATGTACATGAAGTACATATGTATATAAAATGCATCTTGATCACAGTTATTCCAGAAAGTCTGTAACAATGAGTTTGTATAGGAAATGTATTTGAAAAAAATTCAGATACCCTCCAAGGGAATTGTGTGCATATTCCTTAGTACCTAAATTAGCCTAGTGTTTAGTGGCCTGTCATACATGATGATTATTCTTTTGTTTTGTATCTTTTGGTATGACATAGGATAATCAATAGAAATGCAGTATTACAAAGCAGATGTTACTAAGTGTTTCTGATCTCAGTATAACTAGAGCCTGTCTTGATGTTGCATGGTTTCTGATATTCAGGTAGCTGAAATAATAGGCCTGCTTTTATCTGATTTGTGAGTTTGGGAGTCTTTTTTGAACAGAAGGACAAGGAGTTGAAATTAGACACATTTCTAAATGTTTTTAGTGCTTTCTGCTTCAATTCAATTTTTTGGTTTTTTTTTTCCCTCTTGCACATGTGTCAAGACTGCACCCACAATATGATATGTCAACTCCAACATTGGCAGATGCTTGATTTTTGAGAGTGCTTGACTATTGGTTAGTTATGTTCAGGTTCTTATGGTCTGTCACAAAAAAATAGCAAACCTGAAGGTAAACAAAGGGGTATAAGACCAGACTAATGCAATGCCATGAGGGATATCTGTACCAGGTATTTAATAGCAGCATCTGATTTCATGAATGCAAGTTTTTGGCAATTGCCTCCACACGTCTCCAAAATATAATTTAAAAGTCTTCCACCTCGAACCTACCATAGAACTGACTGACTTAGGAAACCCTGCTTTCAGATGCAGATGAGCTGGTTTTAATTTTGAAGATACTGGCAGCTCTCAGTATTTCGTTTGTTTGCCTGACGATGTTTAAGAAAGTGGCACGTTTGCCCATATTCCTTTATCAAGTACGACTGTCACCATGCAAACTCGGAAGGTGGAACAGATCTTTAGTTGGCATGGATAATGAAATTCCACAGGCTTCAGCTAACGTCACTGGATTTTATTAACATAGCCAGCATGAAGATCTTGGTGTCTAAATAGATGTGTATTTTTCCTAGCTCTTTCTCCAGTATCGTAAGTCTCAGTCTGCCTCTTATCTTGAGGTTTAAAGGGAAAATGAGATGCAGTGGGATAGCCCACTCTTGGAATAAGGGTTATCCAGTTAGAAATTTCTATTTCACACTTGGGTGACTGGAACATTGATTGAATAAAATACTTTTTCCAGCAGCAGAAATAAATGAATTAAGAAGTTGGCTCAGACATACCAGGCAGATCCAAACGATGCTACTGTCTGTGCTAAACAAGGAGCATTGAAACACTGGGAATGGGCTTTATGTACTGCATGTAAATAACTCTGTTTGAGCTCCCCAAACTGTCTTTGAAAAGAAAATTCTGCAGTGTTGTTAGCAAGAACTGCAGGCAGCTTGGTCAGTCTTTGAGGCAACTGCATTTAAAGGGGGAAGTGTGTAAGTGATGGGAGGAACCAGTGTGAACAGCACTATAGAATTGTGAAACTGGTGAGCAGATGTGCAGATAGTGTATTTCGATGGAAACCAGCCAAAACATGTGCTGGATGGAAATCTTGACCTGAAAGAAGAAAAATATTGCTTTAGATAACTAGGTGGAGGAGGAGATAGGGGGAAATGGGCGTAGGGTGAAGCACAGCAATACAGAATGTCCAATGTTAGCTTAAATAAATGAATCAACAGCTAAAAAATGCAACCTGTTTATACAGATGCAGCAGCTTGGTGGAGCTTGTGCTATTTCCTTCAAAGAACAGGCTGTCAGATTGTCTTTTAATAGATTTACTCTAAGATGTAGATGCTGACACTAGCAAAATTTAAATTTGTCCAGCACCACAAGTCACTCCTTTGTGTAGTGAAGCAGCAAGGAGGACACATTTAATGTGAAGACATAGGAAGACTGGGCCCGTGGGTTCTGGAAAGAATAAGTTTTTTAAAACAAACCAAAATTGCTTAAATACATATATGTATAAAATGTTGGAGAGAGCAAGATATCTATATAAACATCCACATTCATTTTTGTCTACAGCTTCATAAGTAATTATGATTTATGGTGAGTCTTGCAGAAAGACAAGTTCCTTCGTCTTTGGGTCTGTATCTGAAATCCTCTTCCATGAGGTGATCATACTCTCCCATCCACCAATTGTCTTCTAGAAATGAAGGGCAGATATGAATCCATCTGCTATTGTTCAAGAGTATGTCATTTTTCAAAAATATATCTGCTGAAGCAGGCAGTAGATGATAATCTTGTCGAGATAGTTGGTTTCAAAGGCTCCGTGTTTATGTGCACTTGGAGGACTGCCGATAGGATAATATTTCTAGCATAGCAAGATGCTTTTCACAAAACAATGCGAAATGACAGAAGCCAAGATCGGAAGTCTTCTAAGACAGTAAACAGCAGTATACTTAGGGACTGAACTGGGGTAATTTGCTGATATTAATAAAAGCTGCTGAGTGCTCAGTTTGCTTAAAATCTATGTGGTTGTGTGATACAGATTTAGCCTAATGATAGGTGCCTACCTTTTTTTTTTTCACCCAGCATGTCTGCTCTGAGAATTTTATGGTGTAATTGAAAAGAGGGTCATGTGTTAAAGGCGGGGGAAAGTGAAAGGGAGTGTGAGGAGAGTAGCTGGAGCAAATAGGAAAATTACATGTTTAGTTCTTAGGATGTGGGAAGAAAACTGTAAGTGTCAGAGCAGCCTAAAGGAAAGTGTGAACAAGAGTCATCAGCTACCCCAGCCCCAGGGGAGAGAGAGAAGGGGAGGCTTTGAAAACCCACATGGGAGTTATCTAAAGGATGTTAGCAATGGATAAAGCAACGGATGTCATCTATCTGGACTTCTGTTAAGCCTTCAACATGGTCCCCCCCCAACATCCTTCTCTCTAAATTGGGGAGATATGGATTTGATGGGTGGACTGCTTGGTGGATAAGGAATTTGTTGGATGGTTGCATCCAGAGGGTAGTTGTCAACGGCTCAATGTCCAAATGGAGACCAGTGACAAGTGGTGTCCCTCAGGGGTCCGTACTGGGACCAGTGCTGTTTAATATCTTTATCAATAACATAGACAGTGGGATTGAGTGCACCCTCAGCAAGTTTGCAGATGACACCAAGCTGAGTGGTGCGGTTGACACGCCAGAAGAATGAGATGTCATCCAAAGAGACCTGGACAAGCTGGAAAGGTGGGCCT